GAGAAAAGAGGAGATACTGATGACCTTGTTTTGTGTTCTGGATTCTAGACATACCAGGGGCAAAATTATCCCGTGTACATTTCCCAGGTATACCACAGAACCAAGAAGTTCTCCTTTTGTGTGTGTCTACTCCAGTTTGATTAGATTTCTGTCACTCAGAACCAAAACAGTCCCAGGATATCATCTGTAGCCAGGAAAGCAGATGCTCACAGACATGAGTTCTCTAAGCAGAGCAAGGCCGAGGGAAGGGCGGTGGGCCTCGAGCAGGGAGGCTCCCGTACATGGACAGGGTAACCTGTCTTCGAAGTTCTAGACCGCAGGTTGTCTTTCAGCACGTCTACGGTTCTTTTCTCTTGGTTCCATGGAGAGGCACTCACACACATACTTAATAAAGGGAGGGAGTCAAGATGGCTCCTGACCATGACCATTTCTTCAGGAAGGAAAGAACAGGACCTAAATTCCCCACATCCCAACCCCCGTATCACATTCTTGTTATTCTGAAAACTGCATCTGATTTTTAACCTTCAGATAGACAGGAATTTTAATAGTGGATGCCCTACAAAATACCCAACCATCTCAGCTCCCTTTAGCCTATAGAACCATGTTTTATTTCTCCTCTCTTATTCTCTACTGCTGACATCTGCATGTGAACACAGTCTTAGTACCCTCCATCGCACCCGTTCCCACTGCCTACTCTTCACCTGCAGTCACAGTCCCCCATCCGTCGCATCATACTCCCTTCCCAGCAGAGCGCCGTTGCTTCAGGAGGGGAATAAAGCAGTCGGAGCAGATGAGCTCTTAGTAACAGAGATCCAATTTCTTGCAGTAAGAGACATCCTTCACTACGCCTCTTTGACTTTACAGAGTACACCCTCTTGGAGTCCCACAGAAGAAGACACAAATGCTAGAAAAGCACCATGCAAAATCTGCTCGTTTGTCCTAGGCAAGACCTAACATGGGAGGGTAAGGTGGGGTTAAAGCAAATGCCTCTTAGGGGTCACTCAAAAGAATTGGTAGCTTTTACTCATGGCAACATTCACTGCCAAGAATAAAATGTCTCCAGAACCATCCTTATTAAGCCAATCTTAGCAAGAGAGTGGCAGTCACTAATGCAAGTCCTTCTGACCTGGAGATAAGCCAACCCCTGGAGGATGAAGGGTTACCTGCCGTCTTCGGTATCAGTGTTCCGTATTTCCCTCATGGTGCGACAGTCTTGGTGTCTTCTCACTGCCGCTACCTGCATACCTTTCCTCCTTTGTCTTGTGTCCAAAGCTGTTCCCTCCAATGGCCCCCAAAAGGTGTGGGGAGTGAGAGGGAGAGGAGATAACAAAATGTGGTCTCTTTAATCACTTGAGACATACAAACTGAAACATCTCCATTAGCAGGTAAAGTGTATTTTCTAACGCACTGATGCTATAAATGCCACAACCTTTAGAGAGGGGATGGGGACGATCACAGTGCTCATCGGTCAGCTGACAGTTTAAGGGGGGGTCTTTGTGCACCACGCCTAGGAGTGGGCAGCAGGTTCTTCACATCTTCTGAGATGTTATATGCAAACTGATAAATCTTAGTTCTAAATGAACTAACCCTGGAAAGAACTGATATGTACTTAAACTTAACTGAAAATTTCCTGGAAGGCTACATGCTTGAGTCAACTTTTTTCTTTTATCCCTAACAGTGCTTGCCCATAGCAAGAACTTAAAAGATATAGATCTACCCGCTGAACCAACAAAAGAAAAGAGGGGTTAGCTTAGTGGGGAGACAGGCCAACTATTGAGCTGAACTAGCCATCCTAGAGGCACCCGGTGGCAGGAGATGCTGGTGAGAGGGAGCAGGCGAGGAAGCAGAATTCTACCACCACTTCAGGAAATGTAGCTTATGAGCCAGTAGCCCTTCCTACATAAGTGAAGGGTTGATTTTTAGTACAATCTATACCTTTCTTTCGTAAGTTTAATAAAAGTTGCACAAAAATGCTTTGAATGTATTTATTTTCATTATCCAGAAAATCAAGTGAACACTTACTGAGATGCACCAGAGGTGGAACGGCACTCTTACTGGCCGAGGTGAGCATGGCCGGGGCACCCAGAGGGAACTGAGTGCTTCTCATCACCTTCATACTAACTAGTGTAGTTCCCGGCATGCAGACCACACACTAAACACAAGTTAGTTGAAGAGAATGAGGAAATAATGAATAGAAGAATTACAAGAACTCCAAGAAACAGCTACAAGTTACCTATATTCATTTGTTTGTAGCTTGTGTCCCTGTTAGACCATAACTCCACAAATGCAGGGACTTCATGTGACTTGTGTCTAGTGCCTAAAATAGAACACGACCCCATATCTTATTTTTGGAATCAACAAATGAATATATGAATAAGGTATCTTTTCTTTGTTGCAGAATCTAAAGCCATTTATTCAACTTTGACTTCTCTTAATGCAATATACCTATTTGTAGATGTACAAAATGAATCAACTTACAAGACAGGATAAATCCATATAAGTACACCCAAATTGTCAAAAGACTCTATTTTATTTCTTTCCAGTAGTGCCTAGTTAAATCTTGTACCATAGCAACTGTTCACTACATGGTTATGAATCAAGGAAATATAAGAAATGATTAGGGTTAAGATAAAGGTAATCTATTTTTATTTTTCTCTTCAATTGATAAAAGAGGTTAGATAAAATATTTCTTTTATAAAATGACAGGGAGAGCACAATAGGTGAAAACTTTTAAATGGGATACAGAAATTTAAGAAGGGGTGTGTGGAACAGGGAGAATCCTTGCCTTTTGAAAGTAGTCCAGATTAGAAACCCAGAAGGCAGGGAGGGAGGGGGGAAGGATGGAAAGAAGGGAGAGAGAGGTTGTATTTTTGCTTATAAAAGAATCAAAGTAAAACAAATATGTTTGTAGTTTCTCTGCAACAAAGCTCAAGGCATACGTACACATGTAAACAAAGAAAACATAAGATCAGATTAGTGGTCTATTTATATACCAATATTTTCGCATAGTTGGATTTAAAATGATGATCTATCTAAATTTACCTGGCATAGTACTTCAGATCTAATTAATCATTGTGAAGGGGTATTTCCAAGGTAGAAGTAAAACCCCATAACAATATTTCATACAAGGCTTTGAATTTTGATGTTGTAACCACAAGTAAACATGTATTAATTCAGTACTACATTAATACCCTTAAATGCATAGAATAAATTAATAACTTCTTTGTATGCTGATGAGGAAATGCTTCAAAACGGGACCGAGGTTTCATGGAGTCAGCTAAACATCCTAAAATGCATTTATTTTTAAAGATCAGTTAAGTGTCATCTTTGGGTATGCTTCAAGGACATAATTACCTATGGATCCGACCCACAGAGCAATTCTAAGTCCCTTTCTGAACCTGTATGTGAGTGGTAATGAGTCCCTGGCGATGTTTCTGTGTCGCCTTTGTCAGCCATGGTCCGGCAGGTCTAATTCACTCAGTTCCCAGAATCCAGTGCCGGACACCTGGGACTAAACGTAGACCACGTTTAGGCCCTTGGTCCTCCGTCCTTGGGAAGACAGCAGAGAAAAGCTAGGCTAACCAAGAAATGGTGCTGAGGGCCCAACTACGCATGAGCAGCTGGTGCCAGGAGAGGAACACCAGGCAGTCCTGAGAACAAGGCCGCTTAGCTGGCGGTTTAAAACTATAAAATAGATCTGGCCATGCCAGGTTGGCCACGGCGCGGTCAATGTGATCAGGTATTCCCTGACACTGTGTATCCCTCGGTGCGTCAGGACTCATCTAGCACAAATGGTTCCGATCCATTCTACATCCTATTTTTTATTGAATCTTAAAACGCATTTTCTACCCAATTTACCCTCTTTCCATAGACTGAACATTTCCTTCTATATGAAAAAAACTTGCTGCTTTTACACACTGGAATTTAATTCGGTAAGTTGAGGCCACTTTGCTAATTTATAAACTTTCTTTAACACAAGCTAGAGAATATCTCCATCTCCTGCCTTTAAGTTACCAACAATCTTCCGACACATCAACTCCATTCTCCAGCTCATTAGTAAAAAGGTTGAATACTAAGTCCTAGAACAGATTTCTTGTAGGACTGTACTCAACAGCCCTCTCCAGCTTGGTGTAAAACCATTCATTAGACTTTCCTTGGTCAATTCTCTGTCCATTTTCCAAAAAAAAACCCAAAAAATTATGTAATCTAATAATCTTCTATTTTTTTAACCTAAAAAAACACATTAGGTAGACTCTTAAATAGCTGTGTGAAACAGATGTGTACAATAATACAATTTGTATGGAACCTTTACAAATGACATCTACCACGGAAGAGAGGAATTAACTCCTCGTCAAGTGCTTTATGGCTTCCACGCTCCCTTATCACATGCAAGCCCTTTGAGGCTTAATTCCTGATGCTTCGGAGATACTGAAAGAAATAACAGTCTGTAATAAGACTCCACACTGGCACGCAAACACATGCATACATGTGAGATTTTAAAAAATCATACCGAATCCATGATGACAGTTAATGTTTGACATAAAAGTAATAAAAGCTTAATATCTGGCTTTCGAGGAAAAGCGCTACCCGATTCCATACACAAGACAAACATACCTAACGTGAATCTTTCTAACCATTTTTTTAATATATAAAGCATTTTATAGACATTATTTCTTTTGCTTCTTTCTCTCATAAAGCCTAGATTATGGTTAATATCTCATGACACCAAAAGTAATACTGTAACAGATATTAAAGCATTTTTTCAGCCACTTATTCTATAAAATATTAATTGCAAGCCTTACATGTGCTGTATATATAGGGGATTAGGTAACCGAGTTCCTGCTCAGTTCTAAATCAATAAAAGATAACATGTACAGCATCAATCATCGTTCACTCTTCCTTTAGTACATCCTAACTGCAAGGGGAAGATTTTAAAATATATATGTATTTAAGCACTCATGGAGATATTACAAGCTAGAGAGGATGTAAGCACTACTTACCTAGGAAGGACAGGTTTTTCTCCAGAAGCAAGTCTCTCAGCAGGACTTCGTGCTCATGGCCAATGGCACTGGGAAGTTTTCGTTAAGAAGAGTAACACACGTACAGTTATGAAAAGAGGTTATCGAAAAAACACGAATAAGGTTTATACTTTGAAGTGAAAAAAGAAATGTAATTTTAGCGACTATTTCCACCTTTAGGCTACATCTCTGAGAGTTCTATACACCTCCCCTCATTTTAAACGATTCGACAGAATTATTCTATAATGTTTATAGGCATTTTGGCAACTAAAGATGTGTAAATGGATGTGTGTGTAGTTGATCTCCTTTTGAAAAGAGGGAGAGTCATGTTAAACATCTTTTGTGCTGTGTTAAAACCCTCTGGTTTAGCCCGGCAGTTTACAGCACTTCCTCGGAGCCGCGGAGACCACAGCCTGCGCCTTCTGTGAGTCCACACTCAGAGCCAGTGGTCAGCAGCTCCCGTTCCGCCCCCAGTCCCCCGTGACTCGGGAAGCCAAAGAACTACATACGATGTGAAAGAAGGACATCTCAGTAAACGACAGTCAGTCAGGGTGCGTGTGCCGAGGCTGCTTCAAGTCTTCATCTCATGCGTGTGCAAGTGCACGTGTACGGTATGAATATAACAGACACACACAGGCACATGCACCTTTTTTGAGTGCTCACTAGGAGGCATGGTGCTAAGTGCTTCACAGATGTTTCATTCTTCCGGTTATCATTATCCTTATTTTATAGATGAGGAAACTGGGGCTTAGAGTCATCTGCACAAGGTCATACGGTTAATATGTGGCGAAGCAGAGGGTCAGGATGAGATCTGTGCAAACCCTGTATTTATGGTCTCCATACTGCTGCTTAGACGGTATTAAAATTCATTATGTGGATATCATTGATATTATTTCAAACAATGAAATCACATGCTCTAAACACTTTGGGGTACTATCACCTTATTCCACCCTCACAAGGACCACGTGAGTAGGCAGCCTCATGGTTAGGGAAAGCAGGGCTCGAGAAAGCTGAGGAACTTGCTAAGTCCCTGTGGCTGGCAAATAAGGAAATCAGAAATGGGACATGGAATTCTGGTGTCTTTTCCCAAAGGATGGGATTGTGCAGTCTAAAAAGGAGTGTCAGCCTAGTCTGGGACTTCAGTTCTGTCAAAAGCATTTCATCATAATGATCTAATTCTCTCACTGGCATGACAACCTGGTCAGGTCGCTCCTTGGCTTACCAGAGGCTCTCTCATTCTGAGCACGCCCTGCAGAAGTTCAGTTTAAATCAAATAACGCTTATATATTATTTGTAAAAGAAATTCTTGGCAACTTATCCTCCCTTTATCAACACATACAGGCGAATAGCAATTAGAATTCCAGAGATGCGGCCGCTCACGTCGGCTGCCAAAATGAGCCGAGTCACCGTGGCATCTGTCCTTTGCCATCTCCCCTCCCCACTCCAACGCACATGGCTACGTTTATTTAGCTTTTTAATGGAAACAAAATCAAGGAAATGCATTTTTAAATCACCAAATTTCACACGTGTGCAGAGTCCATTGAAGACATCTGATGAATACCTCTCAATGATTTCTCATTATTAGGGGCATGCCACATTTTAGAACTAAATTATTTACTTCTATTCCACATAGATGTGCTCTCACTTTTATTGTTGTAAATTATTTACATCTAAAATGTTGAATCATGAAACTGAGGTTACTGATGGTTCAGAAATGAAACCCACAGCATTTCAAGCTTCCTGCAGCATTATCTTTCCGTGCTTAGGTCTTTGTCTGACGGCTGTGTCCTGAAGTCACACTTTGGAAAAGTTGAGGTGGCTGGTTTCTCGCACCTTTTGTGTCAGTGAATATGATCTGTGGCAGGAAAGGTGTGGGTGAGCCTGGCTATTAGAGAAAAAAAAATAGCAGACACAGAAAGAAAAGGAATGCACAACGATAATTTATATTCTCTTTGCTACTGAGCTTTTTTGGTGCATTTATTAGTAAATGACCAATTTACTTTATTCGACTTACCCAAACGTCTCTGTGTAACCTTTTCATAATGGAGTAAAAAAGTTTTGTACCAATTCAGTTTACTAAATGTGTGCTTTCTTTCTTACAAAATGATGTATTTTACTGCGAGTAAGTGATGTAAATAGTACCAAATTATCAAAACAATATACAAATACCATTTTCACTCACATGAAAAACTAGGAATTTTTATTTAGTGTGAAATAAAATAATCCCTGTTGATCAGCTTAGGAGACATCTATGCAAGTGTATTTACATTATATAAAACTGCTACTACCTCAACGCAAAGACAAAATCAGTTCTCTATAAATATCCCAGCCTATTTTATTTTGCATGTAAAAGCAATCATCAATTTTCAATTTTTGAAAAAATATGCTTCTTGGTTCTGCTTTGCGTGATATAAACATATATCAAATATAAACTCTAGAAAATAAAGCTTGTAAAAATAGTAATTTTACTGGCAATAGGCACAATAATGGAACTGCCAAATTATAATCTAGTCGGTATATGCAATTTATAGACATACATCATTATCTTTATCAACTGAAATCCTGTCTGCATTAAATTCTACACAGTGAAAAAAGGAAAGTAAAGGATGACAAAAATGTAGGAAAGATACTCCAAAGAGAATTTTTAATGCTCCATAAGCAGAAACACTTAGCCTTTGTCTATAATAATACCTACTATTGATGTATGGCAGTGACCATGGGGCAAAACTTGTAAATAGCCTCACAAGCCATTTTCTTCGCCAGCAATACAGCAATCTAGTTTCCCGTAAGCATCTCAACTATTACTGAAAAATAGCCTCCTGGCATTTACAAAGCAGTTGACTTCATACTTTAGTCCATGCATATATAATTAGATAGTTATATTTAAAATCAATATGCAATCCTTCAAAAGACATTATGCTTTTAAAACCTTAACTTTAAATTGATTTTAAACTATTTTATGTGCTTGAAAATTAACATGTAATTCCGCCCTAGATACTCTGAGATGGTGTTAGTTGCTACACGAATGTGGTAAACTTTATGGCTGTAGCAACTTGAGGTTGACATTCCTACACTACTAACACTACCATTAATTTTACACCGAAGATAGAAGTATACTTTTACTTTGGTCTAACGAAAAGGTAAGCTTATGACAATGCTGTGATTTTATTAAGTCAGACTGGGGGAAACAGACTTGGAGAATAAATATATCAAGGGATATAATATAGATACTGAATATTCTTGCAAGAGGGCTCTGTTAAAAGATTATTGTTAAAATTAACCGTTATGAAAAAGTAAATGAGAGTTTTTTACAAAAATTTTACTGACTCTCTGCCCTTATAAAACAAGGTGGAATACAAACACACATGCGCATGCACACACACACTTGACCAGCAAGGCCTTCCCAAAAAATGCCTCCTGACTGATCACCAAGTCACAGCTGGTCACAGTGCCACCCCACCCTAACAAAACCTATACCAGGAAGGGAATGTTCTACTATAAGAAATGTGAGATTACTCATGGACTCACATAGATATAATTTTCATTAGAAAATGATCAATTATTTACTCTTTAAAAAGCATTTTAAGCCAAGGACTGTATCAAAATTCCTAGTTTTGCCACACCACCACTAAATGTATTGATGAATAATGTCCTATGTCATGAAGTCATTATTGTCCACTCAAATCCTGTTTTAAGAGTTAAGCATTAACTCTTTAGTAATCTCAAAGTTTTTAATGAATGACTGGCCATATTTTCATAGCCTTAAATCCAGTCCAGAGAGAAAAATTAACTCGGTGTCTCTAAAAATTTTTATTAGGGATTCAAATGACAGCTCAGACTGTAATCAGCATATAAGCAATAAGAGTCCACTGACCTTTAAAATGTGGCGGTCTCTGGCGACATTTTAATCACACCACCCTTTAACTTTAGGCAAAATTTATTCTAGCAAATGCAACCGAATTTGGCTCATTTTAAATAGAAATTTGATCTATGTTTAAAAATGTTCACTGGAATGGTTAGATACATTTCCAAGACAGTGTGTTACCTGCCTAATGATTCTATACCTTTAAACTCATTGAAAACCAAGCAGTCTGAAATAAGCATATGCAGCTGCTGAACTGACATCTTCCCATGGCCACTCTGGCTTCTCTTACGCTGTAGAGAAGAATGGTCTGCAGTGACCCTCCAGTTGATTGAATATAAAATAGGAGAGTATGAAATGTGTTTTGTGAAGCAGAACTTTATGTCATGTTAAAGCTAGACACATCTCCTCCACTGAGTCTAAGCTCGTCAATTGTGCACCTAAAATTTTATGGGAAAGGATACTGTTTGATGCAGTCCACCAGTGGTCCATAACAGCAGTCGTTCACAATGCACTGCAGACAAACACAAGAAGGGGCGGGGTGACTACAAACACTACTCCGTTGGACAGTCTCCTAAAAGCAGTCTCTCGAATTTTTTTCTTAATTCTTTTAAACGCTATTAAAAAAGTCTGTGCAGATTTAATCACAGAAAACAAAAACTGCATGCTTTTTTATTCACTATAAAAGCAAGCTATTAAAAAGTGAAATGCTCTTCTCGCAAATATTGCACTGCCATTTATGGTGCACCCTGACCTCAGTGATAGTTTATGATGACAGTAATTAAATGAGGTTTAAAATCCTTTACTCTGCTAGGCAGATAACAGCATTGCCACTGAAAATAGACAGCTGTGATTAATACCTGATAGACCTGATTTGCTAGAACCCCATCTGGAATCTGAGAAGGGTCCCGTAGCATACTATTTATCACAGACTTGGAGGCTGTGGAAGAAAAGAGATGAACTGTTAGCAGACAGTCAACATACTTTTAATGCAACATGAGAAGTGACATATACCTATATATACACAAAGCATAAAAATGAAAACACTACTAATAGGAATCACTTCCTTGTTATAAATCTACGAAAGCTTTTAATTAGTCCATTTTGCCAAGTGTGTAGGCCACATTGCCAGATTTGAAGATGACCTAATTTTTCCAAGGTAAATTAACAAGTACAGACCTAAAGCATATGTCTCTTTGCAGATAAATGAGCTTTGGAAAAGCCCACTTGGGGAAAAAAACACAACAAAGACAATCAGGAAAGAAAATATTTGCGGCAGGTAAGTATTTTATAATAAAGCATATGTATATAGAGAGCTTAGTGAAGGCAGGTCAGATTCAAAGACCAGTGATGTCAATAAAAATAACTTTAAGCCAAGAAAGCATCTCTGAATTCTAAACCTTTCTAAAATAATTCTCATCGACTGCCATAAAATGTTAAGTGCATTTCACAGGTGAGAAAAGCAGGTAAAATGACTGACTATTGAGGGAATCGCAAATGAGAAAAAAAAAAATTTTAAATACATATATGAATTTTTGTTCCAAACATATGTCTTCTTACATCCCATTGTAAATTACACTACCTTATCCAGGGAACTGTTGTAGAGGAGGCTAAGGGATATAGCATCCCTTATATAATGAGGGATGCGATATCAGGTCACATTCTTTGAAAATTGAGGCAGGAATCTTGGCCTCACTGTCTGTTGCAGGCACATGAAAACCAAGTGGCCAGAACTCCTCGTCCTCTGCAATGGAGGAATGCTCGTCTCTGGAGCAGTGATTTTCGACGCTGGTGTGCCACACGATTTTTAAAACATGCAATACCTGACTTTAGTCAGGGGCACTGACCTCTTTTCCTTTGATTGTCAAATAGAATAATGACAACAGCCAAGACAACAATAGCCATCCAGTGTGAAGGAATAAAAATTATACCTATTTTTTTGGTCAGATCGGCAAAAAATACTTTTTTTGTTGTGCCATGGAATTTTGGAAATCACTTTAGGTGCGCCATGAGATGAGAACAGTTGAAAATTGCCGCTCTAGACTGAAGCTAAGGCAGGGAATGGCTAGGAATCAATTCTTTCAAGTCCTCCAGTAGAATGATTCCCCAATATGCAGCAAAATGACTTAAGGTCTGGGCCACACAAAAACAATCTAAAATGCATAACGGATAATCACCTAGTTAATAGAATAAACACAGGCCACCGATTTACATCATTCAGGTTCTGAGATGATTCTGGGACTACTTTTTATTTTTTTATTTTTTATTGTTATGTTCTTTATCAAGTTCAGTACCATAAGAACACTGACAGTTATGATAAATGTTAGTAAATACTGTGGAAAGAGAGAAGGTAATTACGTCTTTCTCACGTAAGCATAGTACTGAGACCACAAAGAAATAAAACAAAGTACAATTATTTTAATTATTTCCTATTTTTGGTTACATAATTGCATGTTTACAGTACCATTTCTGTACTTAACAGCCATGTGTAAACGTGTTCGTGCTGCAAGCCAGCTGCACAACTAGCTCTGTGACCCGGGCAACTTACGGTGCCTTTCAAATGCAATGCCTTCATCTGCAGAAAGGGGTAATGTTATCTGAGCTTATTACCTTAAAAGTTTCTTGTGTGATTCTCTAAATCTGATGGCTATTCTGTTGTTATTTATTTTGTTAATGTTTAAGAAATATTCAGAACCAAATCAGATTAGGCATCTACTTCATATAAACTTAAGTTGGACTTGATTATTTCTGAGGGAAATTACCATGGATGAATGATAGGAACACTGGGAATATGAAACAGCAACTCATCTTATTGTAAAAAAATATATATTATTGCAACAATAGTGTTCAATCAATAGTAATATACCTGGTAAACTCACTCAGTTTTTCCACTAATTCTAAGACCTGGCCAGACAGAGGGACCACAGTTCTGCTCATGCATTTGGTCACCTTCTCTGAGGGTACTGACTGTCTCCGATTTGCCACTCAGTGACCAGACAATAATGTCAGACGCATTCTTTAAGATGACTCATGATGCCCCCAGTGTCTCAAGGAAACAGCACCTTCTCCACCTGTACCCATACCTGGTCATTGCTAAGACATTACACTGCTAACACCGCTAACACCCATACCGTGTGAGGAAGAAACGATTCATCTGTAAGTGTCCAGAGAGCATGACAAAAGTGTTATCCTATGGAAAATTACAGACCTCATAACCAACTATATGCAACTCATTGCTAAACTCATAAAACAAAGGCTCTTTTCTAAAAAGAAGAGAAACAATACTCTAGGACATAAGAAAATTAGGTCATTTATTTTACGAGGGAAGAAAGGGAAACATTAAAGAAACCAGAAACTGATGACATCATAATTTTCCTCACAATATAAACTTTAGAATAGTGTGCTTATCAGAATTAAGCATCACAGCCAATAAACTTTAAAAAAAAAAATAGTTTGAAAGTATTGAATAGAACACTATTCAAATCAAAGGAAGCTTGTAAGAGGAAGTCAGTCATTTTAAATTGAATAGTAAAAACTATATATTGAATCCACGTTCATGCAAAAAGTATGCCTCCATCTCAGATGAAGCCAGAGAGTGCAAAAGTATTCTTACACACATATTCTGAAGCTTTGGAACTGCCAAAGGGATGAACAATAACATGAACCACATGAGGACAGGCGATTGGACTATCTTGGAAGGGCTGGAGATGATAGGCTTCAAGGAAGCCTGTGCCTTTCATGGAAGCTGTCCCTGGGGCCAGTTACTACTTCTGTCCAATTTTCACCCATCTCTTTTGAGCATTCATGTACAGGAGTCTTGTTTTCCCTAACCTCTACCAGAGGCATTCATGCTGTTGACTGCATAGATTACCCGCCACTGCTTCGACTGGACTGCCGGGAATTCAACTTTCTACCAAGCATGTCACAAGGCAGGAATGCATGAGTCACCTGGAGCTAGATGCACAAGAATAGGGGAGAGCTGGTACATGTTAAAGCTACAGAGGACAGGCAATAGGCAATGCCAGGACTAAGGTCTAATGCCTAAAATAAGATTATGATTTTTTTTTTATCCTCACCCATGGACACTTCTTTGCATTTATCTTCAGATAGAGCAGGAGAAAGAGAGAGGGGGAAAAGAGAGAGAGAAACATTGATGCGAGAGAGACACATTGACCGGCTGCCACCCACATGACCCCAAACAGGGCCGGAGACAAGCCACAACCGAGGTACGTGCCCTTAGCGGGAACCAAACCCGGGACTCTCTGGTCTGCGGGCCAACGCTCTAACCACTAAGCCAAACCTGCCAGGGCTGTGATCTTTTTAACTGTGAAATATTTCTAACAAAAAGTTGTCAAGGAGCCTAATATAATAAACACCCCCCCCCCGCCCCGACACACACACACTTGGATTTAATTTCTGAATCTGCAACTAAATTAGCTATAAACACTCCAATATTAATTTGTATAGACTTTTAAAATGTATCCATCTTGCTAGAGGTTGGCTTATTACTATATTCAAGAAACCAAACTTTGGTTTTGTTGATTTGCTCTACATTTCTTCAAATTTCATTTAATTTATCTTTTTGTGATCATTATTTCCTGCTTTCTCCATTAAATTTACTACATTATTCTTTTGCTAACTTACTATTTTTATTGAATAAATTTTCAATCTTTTATTTTAACATACACTTTTTATAAACTTTATGCTTATTGTTGACATCATTACAGATGTCCTCATTTTCTTCCCTTTGCTTGCCTCCACCCAGTCCCTGCCCCCCTTCCTTCTGGCCATCAACATACTATTGTCTGAGTCTATGGGTTATGCACATATGTTCTTCATCTTCTTTTGTCCAGCCCCCTGCCTGCCTCCTCTGACAGCTGCCAGTCTGTTCCATGTATCCATGCCTCTGTTTCCATTTTGTTTGTTAATTGATTTTGTGCATTAGATTCCACATATAAGTGAGATCATATGGTATTTGGCTTATTTCATTTAGCATAATAATTTCTACTTTTAAAGCTATAATTTTTCCTCTAAATTCTGCTTTAGCTACATGCCACAAGATTTGTTGTCATTTATAAATATTCTATAGTTTCCATAATTTCATCTTTGATCAATAAATTATTTAAAAACATATTTCAACATTTTATATTTCTAATTTGATTACAACATGGTCAAATATGCAAAGTTTATATTAATTTGGGGGTATTTTACTTCCTTTGTGTTTTTATATGCAAACAATTTTTACAAATGTTTTATGTCTTAAAAAATTAATGAAGCTCCTATTTTTGAGGTACAAGGTTCAGGTATGTCAGGTAGGTCAAGATTTTTTTTTTAAATCTTCACCCAAAAATATGGTTTTATTGATTTTTAAAGAGAAGAAGAAGGAAGTGGGGGAGAAAGAGAGAAACATCAATGTGAGATAGAAATATCGACTGGTTGCCTCCTGCATACGTCCTGACTGGGGATAGAACCCACAACCTGGGTATGTGCCCTGAAGGAATCAAACCTGCAACCTTTTTGATGTAGGGGACAACACTCCAACCAGCTGAGCCACCTGGCCAGAGTTCAAGATTTTTAATTCTATTATTCAAATCTATATTGCTATTAATTTTTTCCAAACTAGATATGAAATGATCATTTATTATTGTGGACTTGTCAGTTTCTCTTTATAATTTGCCAATGTTTGCTTTCTCTGTTAGAGGGCTATATTGTTGGGTGTATCAATTCATTGTTTTATATACACTACTTGCCTTTTGGCATTAAGTTATGACCTTCTGTAACTCTCTCTCTCTCTCTCTCTTTTTGGTCTTCAATTGAATGTTATCTATAGGTAATACCACTATACCACTTTTCTTTTGCATAGTATCTGCCTGATATATCTGGTGTTTCATTTCTTTACTTTGAGCTTATTGTGTCTTTAAGTCATAGGTATGGGTCTTA